ATTTCCTTAAATTTTTGTCGCAGCGACTCTTTAGGCTTTAAATCATAAATTGCTCTTATGGCTCTCTTCTGTAAAACAAATATAATTTCAGTGTCAGCTACGTGTCCCCATAGCAAAATACCATACGATATTATGCTATGGAAATAGCTAAAGTAAACTAGTTTAACTGTTTCAACACTGGTAAAACTTCTAAACTTTTTTACAGCATATGCTGCAGAGCTAAGTCTGCTTGCTAATTTTGATATATGGGGGCTCCATTGAAGCTTGGCATCTAATGTGATTACAAGAAAAATGGTGGTATCTACAAGACTCAGTTTCTCTCCATTCAAAATTACATTAGAATTTAATTGTTTGACATTTGGAGTCATAAATTTCATAGTTATATAAGTTTTAGTGGTTTTTTTTTCGTATTACTTAATAACAAGCTCAATTAAAATACAATATGGGATATACCAACTATGATTAGCGATAATGTAAGATTATCGTTCCAGCATACGTCTAAAATATTACTTTAATTCAATAACTGCCTATACGTTGGTAATGTTTTATTTTGTGTAAACATTTATCAATGTTTGAAAGAGATAAAATACCAAACTCGGTGCCTCTCTTTCTAAGAAAAATGAGGAACGGTTACAATGTTCCAAGCGCTCACTCCCTATATTATATTATAACCTCCTTGTTATGAACAAAAGTTCTGTTAAACTTTTTAATGTAATTCCGTACTCTAGACAATGGAGTGGATCTATTAAAAATTTTCCAGCTAAGCTGTCTTTCAGTCTTCAAAGTGATTTTTAGGGTTCCATACCTCAAAAGGAAAAAACGGAACCCTTATAGGATCACTTTTTTGTCCGTCTGTCTGTCTGTTTGTCTGTGAAGACTCTTTTTCTCAGGAACGCGTAGAGGTATCAAGCTGAAATTCACATCAAATACTCAAGTCTACTATTCCTTAGAGCTGTGACTCAAACTCAAACTTCTAAGCCAACACAATCAAAAGATACAGCCGTTTATGCCGCAAATTTTCGACATTCGCAAGGGAATCAAAACCCACAGGGTACTTCCCGTGAACTCAGAATCTTGAAATTTGGTACGAAGCAACGTTTTATAGCACAGATAAAGGAAAAATTGCGAAAAGCATAAATTTTTAGTTACATTATATAATAAAAATATATTTAATAATTTTAAACTTATATACCTAGTAGTTGCCTAGAGAATCATCATCACATACTTGCCACTCACAAGACAGAGCCAGTGAAGACGAAACAAATGTCAAATCTAATGCATTCTGCCTCCATCTATGAGATCCTACTGTAGTCATCTGACCATCATTCAAGATTACAAGATTGTTGTCATCTATACTTGCAAGAACATCCCTACCTCGTGAATCCAATTCAGAACATCCCCATAAAGTGTGATGAGCGTTGAAATCACCAGCTATAAAGACTGGGTGTGGCAAACTTTGGATTAAATTATCTAATTTGGATTTATTATAATTAATTGGTGAATTAGGGGGACAGTAAACACTAACTAAAGTTAATAATTTATCATTGTATTGTATTTGTACCGCTATATTTTGTAATGAGTCATCAGAGAATTTATTGATAACACGAAATCCAATTTTGTTATGTAGAAGTATTGCTACTCTATTATGATCGTTACCTGAATCTAATCGTATAATATTATAACCTTTTGCTCTAAAATTGTGCCTAGGTTTAAGCCAAGTTTCACATATGAGAGCAACATCTATAGTGTTCTCATATAAAAGTTTTGTAAATTGAAAGCGATTTTTAATTAAACTCTGTGCATTCCATTGTAAAATGTTAAACTGATCCATAAAATTTTGAATGTCAAATAATGAAATATCTATATTGGTTTCATTGTATCTGTGAGAACATCTTTAACAAGCTGAGAAGATATGGTGGTTTGTTCATTTGATTTATTAAGAGTTAATACTTTAATGACTGTATTTAAAATTATATTAATAATGTCATCATTCTTTAGCAATGACATAAGAGCATCTTTAGGATTTTTTTTTGTTTAATTCGGGGAATTCGTTTTTATTAAAGAGATCTACAAACGGGGTTTTGTGTAATTTAGCCTGATTTTCTTTTATCTTTTGTTTCTTAACAGGACACTGTCCAGAAATGCTTAGATGGTTGCGCTGCTCTTTCTCAGAATCTTCCTCAGTACTGGTATTAACTTCATCCTCCTCAGTCGTATCTTCAAAGACTTCTTCTTCTCCCGGCAACTTTTTTTTCTACGTTTCCCCATTATGAGGAAACCCAGTAACAATAAAACAGTAAAGGCTAAACTTTTAACTAAACAAAACAATTAAAATTTTAGTTTAAAAAAAGGCGCCTATCACGTTTCAAGGTTCCCGCGCTTTTTTCTGTGAGACAGACTGCATTTTTCTATGCTCAAAGGACACAGAGTACTTTTTAACTTTTTATTAATCAGATGTAAGTGCTAGCCGTAGAGGGAGTATAGTTTATTCTCTCTCTACGGTGCTAGTCTTGTGCTAACTATAGACTTAGAAATGTCTATGGTGCTAGCTAAAGATATTGTAAAATACATATCTTTAGTGGTAAGGTGCTAATCGGGTGATGCAACTCTGTATGAAATTTGAGAAATATGCACACAATCATAATTTTGTCAATGTGTGGATTGAGCGTATAAAAGTAAAACGAAAAAAGGATATAGCTAAACGTAGTGATTATATTCTCTTTGGATATAGCTGTTTCTTTATTTCGCACTGTTTCAGATTGCTATTTTAAAAATTTGATACTAAAATATATATTATATCGGAAGAAACTGAAAATGTTAATTCTGTTCTGTTAAACTTTTTCTTGGTTGCTCCTTACAGTATAATTACATACATATTACTCTGAGATTTGAACAATTAATTCACCTATTGATTGATTAAAATTAAATTAATAATTATTAGCAGAATTCTATGACATTTGTTTGTCAATGTCTTTCACGATGAAAATATTTTTTACTGAAATTTATTCAAATTTATTTCATAGGTTTACATTTTAATATTTTTGCTTAAATTCAGTTATTATCAGTTCAGAATACTTCAATTTCGTTTGTGGGCATTTGTGAATGAGATATTAATAATATCTCATACACATTAAGTTTGTATAAAAAGGGTTATTATAATATTAAAAAAAAATATGGATGATAGTAATGGAATGGAAATGAAGTGATCGCTACCAAGCTATTTCTAATTTGTTGTGTTGTTAATTTGTGTAACATATATGATTGTAAGCTGTTATTTAAAAAAAGTTCCGCTGGGTTTCTTGTTTTTTTGTTTCTTGAGAATTTTTTTTCGAACCAATGGTAATTAAACAAAAGAGTGACTTTCAATAAGTACCTATTATTTATAATCTATATTGAATAAAAAAGTTTAAAAAAGTTTGAATAAAAAAGCCTATTACGCGTAGTTTGTTAATAAAATGATTTTCAAGTTTATAAGTTTTATTGCTATTAAAAATTATAAGGCGCTAACTTTTTTAGTCAAGTATTTGCATGCCCTACAAATAATTGTTCCGGATCTGGATGTTTGTCCTCGTGCAATTTATGTTTACACTTACTTTTTCATTTTACACTGCCTCCACGATACAGGAGAAAATCCTATTGTGTGTGGGTAACGTTTAAGAAAAATAGAAATAGAAAATATAACTAAAATCATATCGTGAAAAAGTCATTTTAAATTTATTTAAATTTTAGTATTTTCCTGACAAATTACATCTCAAGATCCTTATTATGGGTTTCACAGGGAATAATAACAGTAAGCATGTAACTAAGTAGTCCTTTGAAATATTTTATTTTTAGTGTTTGTTTTATCACCATCACATATCTCCTATACAATAGCGAAAATATCTACGCTATAATAGCCTACAAAATTTCAATAATAATCCCAGATGTTAGTTGCAAGCAGAAATATACTTACTGCTGCGTACTGGGAGTTAAGGTTGCTTCAACCAAACGCATGCGCTCCAAGGAAATAGGAAACTTCCCACTGAGCCACAACGTTTTATACCTCCGCCGTTTGTGTGGAATTACGAGGTCATACGTGCCGTCACTTCTAGGAATTTACTGATCAAGGATATCTACTAAAATTAAAAAAAATACTAACACTTCAAAAGATATTTTGATTTATGATCAGTATTAAGACGTTGAATTTTATAGCAAATGAATGTAATCCTTAAGCTTATTAGAGTAGGGCCGTTATTTTACTGAACAAATTGGTTAACATTTGATTCTTAAGGCTTATTACGTTTATTTCAAAATAAAAATTTTGTACAAACGACTTCAATATAAATTATTAAGGATAACTCAAAAAGCACTTGTCAGACTTTGATTAAATTTGTATGATTAAATAAGAAACACCAGCTTTTATATAAAAAAGATAATATAATAAAGGAATAAAAAATAAATAAAAAACGAGTATATCGATGTTGATTTTCGCTGACATGCAAATTTCCTATATAAAAAGTACTCTGTTCATGCGAACGAAATCACTATGAATTAAAGATCTTATGTCTTGTGAAGTAACGTCACACTTAATACTACTATAATATAGATGTCATTTTTGTAGTAAATCATAAGATACGAGTGTACTTACTCCCGTATCCTCTTAGTAGTCTGTGTCTCTTATTTCGCATAGTACAAACATAGATAAAGAAATATGTAACAAGCTACGCATTGCAGTGTACTATGAAGGATACTTATACATTGTAACATCAGGCTCAGAAGGATTAGAACCCAGAGCTGTAAAGCCAGTTATTAAAAATAATCACTTGTGTGAATTTGTGAAAATGGCGTTCAAGCTTCAAGCACAGCATTCAAGATTCTAGTTGTTCTCCTTTAGTGAATCACAATCGAAAAATACCTTCATGTTAGCTTATTTTTCTAAGTATTTACAATAAAGTGATATTTTGTTATTTAAAAAGTTTAGTTTCGATAGTGTTGAGTTTAATTGAATTTGTGCAACTGCCATGAGTAACTACGATGACGATCAAAGTGAAGATGGAGAATTAGCACGCAGCCCTGTGCAGGATGAAATGGATTTTAGGTTGGCATTTTAACATTTACGTTACTTGTATTTCTTACACTAAATACGTAGTAAAGACATGATTAATTTTTATATCGAAAGATGTAACGACTTAAATTCTTAATTTACTGTAATTTACATTTTACTAAAAATCGTAATTACTTTTGTTAAAAAAAAATTGAATAATTATGTTAATCTAGGTGTACATATATCTATACGCCACCATTTTCTCAATTTCAATATCTTATTTTAATACTAAAATGCTTTTAGCCTTTCTGACGAAGACAGGGATAATGCTGACTCATTAGTTATTAAACCACCACAAGCCGTAATTCGTTCGTCACATAGAGAGAAGAGAAGTCATAAACGGTCAGGAAAAGATAGATATAAAGAAATTGTTAGAAAAGACAAGAAACACTTTTACAGGTAAAAACAGTTTTTCATTAGCTTGTGTGTAAATTATTTCTTTGTCCTAGTCTACTCTTATCTTCAGGTTCTTATTATTTCTTTATAGTTTATTAGTAAATAACCTTTCTTTCTAGGGATCGTGACAAGTCTGAAAAATCGAAACGTGGGGAGGTTACAAAGAACTTAGAACGTGATGAGATGACAAAAGAGTACTATAGGGAAAAACAATATTACAGAGAAAAGGATCCATATCGTGAAAAAGAGGTAAGGGAGAAAGAAATATATCGTGAAAGAGAAATTTATAGAGAAAAAGATGTATATAAAGAAAGAGATCCATATAGAGAAAGAGAACATTATAGAGAAAGAGAAATGTATAGGGATAATACAACATCATTCCGGGAAGCTACACGTCAAAGAGATATGTATAGAGAAAAAGATGTCTACAAAGAAAAAGAGGTTCAAAAAGACCGTGAAATGTATATGAGTCGTGATCGACAGAATAAATATTCCGATAATGAGAAAAAACGTTTGGAATCTGATAGAATTGAGTCAAGATTGAGGTTATTAGCTGAAGAAAGTCGACCTAATCATAGTAATGAAAAAGAGAATAGAGACAAAACTTCTGGTGATAAGGAACTAGAAGATTTAAGGACAAGATTGCTTAGTAAAAGAATATCAAAAGAATTGCAAAATCAGGAAACAAGAAAGTCTGATTATTCAGACAAAGAATCAAAATCAGATGATAGGCAAAGACATTCATCATCACTAGATAGACATCAGCAGGAACGAAGAAAAAGATTAATAGAAGCAGGTATGAAATTGTTTTAATTAATTTGATTCGTAATATTTCTTCATCAAATGTGAATTTGACTGTTTTCTTATAGAAAAAGAGATGGAAAAACGTAAACATGAGTCCCGTAATGAATTAGAAGCTCGCCGTGAGGAACGTCGCCGTCGCGGGAAGAAGAGATCGGTATCTCCTGATGATGGCTCTAATAAGAAGAAAAGAAATCACTCCCCCATCTATGATGCAGTGGTTACTGTATCAGATGCCAGTGATGTTGAGATGAAGAGTGATTCCCTTCATTCAGAACCAGAAGAGGGTAAAAATTTGTGTTGTCTCAGTATTATTATCAATTGGAAATAAACTAATAAAAATTATTTAATGATATTAATGTTGATGTACCTTGCATGATTCAAATGTCTGTCTTGTAATTTGAATTTTTCATTAGTCTAGTTACTCGGTACTTTTATGGTTTGAGCAAGGTTAATTTGTTGACCATTATATACTACAAGCTGTAATGAAATAGATCATCTTACTATTTGTTATTTTATAGGTGAACATTCAAATAGCGAGACTGATGATGACAGCACCACTGATTCTGACTCAGAAGCTGATTCTAAATCAGGGGATGATAATGAAATTCAAGAAAAGTCAGATAAAGAAGACAAGGATGTAAAGGAACAAGATGTTGATAAGGCTAAAACTAGGTTAAATTCAAAGTCCAAATCAAAATCACCTTCACCAAAATCAGCTCATAGAAGTCCATCATCCCATGGATCTGGAAGGTATTTTGTTGTTTTTTATGAATTATGAATTCTTCTATATGTGTAAAGAATACCTAATTACTTATGAAATACAGTTTAATTATTAACATTCCATTTAGAAGTTGCCATGACTGTTTTTGCTACACTATTTAGCTATTGCCATACAAATACTTCTTCCATGTGGGATTTGAACCCGCAGCTCTCAGTGCCACAACTCAATGCTAAGCCACTGTGCCATGGAGCAATCCATGTTTAATTTTCTATAAAAAAAAATATTGACTAAATCATTAGGTTGTTAAATAAATTAAATGAAGTAGTTTATTTTGTAACAGAAATATTGTTAGTAGGCAAAAAAATGGCAAATTGTTAGTTAAGGTGGACTAGGTGACATCCTGCCTTTTTTTTTCATCAGCCTGTAATACTCTACTGCTGCTTCTGCACCCTTGGAAGGCACTTACACCTTTGATAATGCCTTGACTACTATTCTGGGTTATTTATTAATGCTCCACCTGCAAACATTTTTTTTAGTGAAAACTAGTTTACTTCATTACATAACTATTTAATGACCCCATGTGCCTAAAAACTCTGGTATTATTTGAACTAAAGGACTTATAAAAACTGAATGAAATTGTTTTATTGTTCCTACTGAAAAGTTGGAATTTTTTTGTTTGTTGGCTTTTGCAACAATATAGTGCAAAGAGGAAGGTTATACAGTCAACATCTTTCTCGCATTTCCAGTTGTTGTCTCATTTATTTATATTAAGAGTTACGTCAGGGGTTATGACACTTGGGATAAAAATTGACAATGATTTTTACTGAAATATTTCCTGAGAATGTCATCACCACAAGGCATATCCAGACCCCTTGTTTATTGGCTGATTTCAGGTCACACTCTAGATCCAAAAGTAGAAGTAGATCACATTCCTTTTCACCTCCACCACCTGGTGAAAATGGAAAAACACCTGCTGAAGAAGAGAAACCAGAAGAAGACAATGAAAAGCTAAGATTAAAAGAAGAAGCTATAAATTTATTGCCACCATACTATCCTGCTCTACAGGTAGACATATTTTTTATACCTTTTTTATGAACATTCTAGTATAGCATTTCATAAGGAGTTTTAAATATTGTGATAAAGATAACACAATATAATGGTAATAATTTCTCCAAATTTTGTATTTATGGCACATAGAAAAATGTTGATGTTTTAAATTGTCAAGTATGAATATTATTCCAAGTTCTCAGCTTCAATGCAGGCCTACTTTATAAATTGTCATAAAGATTGGCCCTGAGCCACCTGTAATTTTGACTCCAACATGTCTCATCAGATTATCACCCACTTCTTAGTTTAACATTTACCATGTGGTTCTTAATATCTCCATAACTTACATATTCATATGGTTAATCTGTTACTAATTTTGCTTACTGATGTAATTATACACATACATTGTATATTTTACTATCACATGATAGGATAGATCTTACATATATTTTTTTACTTTTTCTCTCCATCAATTCACTGCTAAACATAGACTTCTACCATCTCTTGGTAGGTGAATTGATGATTGAAGTACCAAGTTCTTGCACCTTTGCTGCCTGTCACCTGCCATCTATAGACAGATATGATTTCCTATAAAGGTTGCAGTATGAATGGGTTGGCTCAGCCAGGGTAGGATCACACTTTGGCAGGATACCATCATGAAATAGCAGTTTAATGCTGTTATGGTCAATGTATCCATCTTAGTCATCAGGGGCTATCTGCGTTTTAATCTTAATTGAGGATAGATGTTGATGTCGATGAGCCACTGTATACACTTACATTTGGTGGTCTGTGTGCTCGCATGTTATACTTATTCTATTAAAAAAAAGTCCCCTTCTATGGCACCCACTGCAAGAGAATGAGTGATGGTTTCACACAGCAAATGATGTGTATTATTATTATATAATTGGTGTACCTGCATGTACTAAGTTGCAGGTCTTTTCAAGGTTTTTAATTCTACCCATAATCAAATCTTATACAATAATAACACAGTGTTTTTAGGGTGTGGATGTGTAGGTGATTTTGTGTCTCCAACAATACGTCCAATTAAACCTCTGAATTTATAACAGCAATATTTATAAATACAGAAAGAGAATGTATATAGTTCATAAACAGTACATTAGTATAAATAAGTGCATCTTTGTTTGAATGTACATCTATTGTTTAATACATGTGCAATTTAAAAATCTTTTGACAGTACTTGTAAGTTGTCACCATAGTGTAGTGGAGTGTTCAGGAAAATATGTCATAAACTATTACTCTTTTTTTGTTGTGAAGAGTTTTTCTTTTAGAATATTTATCTGTCGACTTCCAAAAAGGAGATGGTACTCAATTCGACTGTGTTTTTTTTTATATGTGTGTTACCTCATAACTTTTTACTGGGTGAACCGATTTCGATAATTCTTTTTTTATTTGAAAGCTGGTACTTCTCAGGTGGTTCCATATGAATTTGCTCAAGGTCAGACCAATAGTTTTTGAGTTATTCTTAATAACTTACATTGAAGTCGGCTGTACAAAGTTTTAAATTATGCAATACACATAAAACATGACTAATAATGTTAATTTTATAGGGCTGTCGATCTGTTGAGGAGTTTCAATGTCTGAATAGAATAGAGGAAGGCACATATGGAGTTGTTTACAGAGCACGTGATAAGACCACTGAAGAAATTGTTGCTTTAAAACGATTGAAAATGGAGAAAGAGAAGGAGGGTTTCCCTATCACATCGCTGAGGGAGATCAATACTTTACTTAAGGTACGATCTTAATCTTTTTTTATTCACTATACTAAGCTCACTTGAGCCATCGTATTGCATCTATGCTCTGTATTAAAGGTATATTTCCTGTGTTTTAAATTTATCATGTCCTAAGCAGCTTGTGTGAGCCACGAGCTGTTAAGCACTCGATGGCTCATGTGTGAAATTCACATTATTAATGCCTTGTATTTTATTCCTACAGGCCCGGCACCTCTTACCTGAAGAGGGTTGTGCTAGAGGTGTGACCCCGTTGCAAGGGTTAACAACTTCGATACACGGGCGGGCCTAAGTATCTTATAAGGAATTTATTCCAGGGGAAAAGATTCTTCAATACTTTCCACTTCCTTTGTGTGCAAACATAATGTGCATTGAAAAGCACTTCCTTTTAAAATGGTACATCTAGATGAAAATATAAACTTTGAAGGTTTGTTGAGAAAGCGATGCAATTATATATCATTTTCTACATATCCATGCAAATTTCGACTGTCATCAGAATTGAGGTAAACTTCAGTATTATTCTAAGTAATAAGTAAACATACAGATTCATTGCCAATGCATAATTTATTTTTATAATATGTACGTAAGAGTACATATTATATCTTTATCAATAATACCTATATATGGTTTTGACATATTTATTGCGAGTGAGTAAGGAAGCATGACACAAGTAATTTATGATATAAGTAATAACATAATTTGATTTTTTTTAAAGACTAATATAACCATTGTTGATTATTATAAATTAAGGTGATTTAAATTTGTATTTAATGTTTTTGTGACATAAGATATTATATGAATTTTAAATTCTATTCATAATTTATTTGTAAACCTTTAAAAATATACAGAGAATGAAACTTATTTCATAGAATCTACATTTTCTAATACTTTCGAAATCAGACTGGTACAAGATCTCCAAATTTAAAACAATATTATGTCTTTTCTACTTCTTTGTATTCTGACACTAAACATTTCATTCTTTGTACAACAAAAGAAATTTTGTCATTATTTTTAAATATTGAGGAAAAAAATTGACAGTATTCAAAATATACTAATAATTGCAGTTTCATTGGACTTCATACACTGAATTAGAAACTTCATACAATGGCTGGTTCACTTCATGGCACAAAGAGTTCTTTACATTAGGTTCCAGCGTAATATTGCATAATGGAATGCAAGGAGATAATAGAATTAAATTTATAAGAGCATACTCTGACAGATGTTATTTAATATAAAAGCATTAATTTGGTTTAACCAACCTTGAATACTTGAAAGAGACCAATTAATGTGCCATCTACAATGGCTTATGTGAAATAAATAAGAAAATGCTTGAAAAATAAACTGCAAGAAACTCTAACAGGGAAAATGTATTAGATTACGGAAAAGATGGTGTGAATACAACAAAAGATAAATATTGCTAAGATCACGTGAAGAGATGGTGTTAAGGCCATCAAAAGGACGAGTACTATGGAAATTTCGATACTACCGTCAAAATTGTTTTCAAAACAAAATAATAAATTGTGAGGGAGTTTCAAAACATAAATTAAAAGTGAATTTAGGGGAGAAGATAAATTATAAACCTTCAGTTATGGGAAACAAGAAAAAAGGCATACTCTAGGATTTTAAGACAATATCAGGAAGATATGACTTGTACTATATCCAATTGAGTAGTAGCTATCACTTACCAAGTTCACAAATAATTTGAACATTAAAATCTTAAATTAGTAAATTTTACCATGTAAAATTTAAAACAAAATTGTCTGCATTGTGACTAAATAGATATTTGCGCTGTTCTTTTTGGTCACGTGACATTGTTGGAAAAAAGGCTGATGTTATTTGTCGCAACTTGCAGCAACTCTCCAAGTATTGTTACATTTTGATTGGTGACTACGGTATATTTTTCTTCTAAAAACGTGTCTCAAGTAAAGACTATTTCTTTCCTTTCTTAGTATTGTCTCTTTTTCTAGGACAATTTCTCCTAAGACAATTTGTTTTTGTTGCTGATTACTACGAATTCTAAACTCGTGAAACAAATTGGTTGATATATTTCCTTTTTTATAGGATAAGGGTAACATGAGCACATAGTCCACTTGATGGGAAGTGGATGCTGACGTCCATTGGTCAAAGTACCTGGTTATTAAGTTGCGATTTCAGGGTAAGAGCCGCAGCAGGATAGTAAACAGTTGTGAAAAAAAGTTGTTGGCTTCTTGATTTTCTATTGCACGTTGTAACCGTGCGCAGTACGATCAGCACTTTAGCCCTAAAATAAATTTTACGGTTGTGAAAAAAGTTATTTTTCTCGATTTCCTATTGCACGTTGTAACCGTGCGTAGTACTATCAGCACTTTAGCCCTAAAAAATATTTTACGGTTGTGAAAAAAGTTTTTAGTTTCTTGATTTCCTATTGCACGTTGTAACCGTGCATAGTACAATCAGCACTTTAGCCCTAAAATAAATTTTACGGTTGTGAAAAAAAGTTGTTGGTTTCTTGGTTTCCTATTGCACATTCTAACCATGCATAGTATGTTCAGCACTTTAGCCCCAGAATAAATTTTACGGTTTAATTTAGGGTTTTCTGTTCACATTTTAGTGTTAGGCATTGTGTACATGTACTCATAGTAATCATTGATATTTGATATAATTTATTAGCAGCTGGTGAAGCTAAAGTTTAAATTTTATCTATCTATTGTAATTTCCCTAGTATATCATCATCCGAGGCGTACCATCCACACTTCTTTATGATATTATCATTATTTGGTTAAACCATTTGTTATTTCATTCTCATTCGTTTTTTTAAACTGCTTTCTCAACATTTACAGATTTATCAGTAACTATTGTAATGATTTTATTGCACCAAATGAAAAAGAAATGACCAAACATTTTTCCAACCAATTAATTATTTTTTTTTTGCAAATCTTTTTTGTGCAGTCGTTTCGTTTAAAATGATATCTCAGACTTCAATGTGGTAAAGGCCTCTCTAATGATTTCTACTGTTTACTATATCTTGTGACTCTTCACCAATTAGGATTTAATGTAGGTTTAAGTTCATCTTCGTTGTCTTCCCCTATTCCTTTTGCCATTTCTAGAATTCCGTCTTTTATAATTTTTTGGGTACTTCGTAAAGCTAAAAAATTGTAATTATTTCATTGTTTGTAGTAGTTGCCATAGTCAAATCTATTTGTTTATCTTTTTTCGTTGATCTTCTATTTCTTATATTTTATGATTCATTTCCATCTACCTATGAGCAGACATAATAATGTCTCGCAAAAATTTTTAGTAAAAAAGCAAAAGATTATCCATAGTTGCCATTATTACCGCATGATATATTATTTTTTGCAATTTTAAGATACTTTATATTTGTCTTTGTCAAAGTGTACTGTATTCTTTAATCTTCAAACATTTGTTTATTTTTTACTTTTGAAATGCAATTTTAATGTTTGTATGTTGTTTATTTTTTTACTTTTGAAGTATTGTGTAATATACAGACATTCAGTTTTCTATTATGCTCTGAAAGATTTTGTTTAAATTTAATTAATATATGCTTCAGCAACACATCTCCTAAGATTAAAGATTTTTTGAGCTTTTGCCACAGATTTCAAAAGTCGGTGACCCGACAATTTCTCTCAATAATTAGTGATCCATATATAAATCGTTCTCTAGCTTTAATTGCTATTTTTATTTAAAATAAGTTGAGTTTAATATCTCTGTCTTACTCTGTTGTCTTGTCTTTTTATCTTTAGTAAAGTCCATGACTTTATTATTATACGCGACTTTTTAACTTTATCACCAGCAGAGAAGGACCATGTTTAGATTCCATAAATCATTATTGGCAACATGCGTTCCTTTAATTTATATTATACTAGGTGGCCAGGCAGACGTTGTTCTGCCCTTTTTGACGACCCTTCATATAAAAAATCCTTAAATTCGTATTAAAAAAATATTGAGTGTCACTTATCAGGATAAAAACTATCCTATCTCTCAAGTTGGACCAAACTGCACTGAGTATGCAAATTTCATTGAAATCTGTTCAGTTGTTTCGGAGTTCATCGCAGACAAACAATGTGACACGTAATTTTTATATATAAAGATATCTGACACTTAAAGGTTACGCCTAACACTAAACGCCAGACAACATGATTTGTACATTTCATGTTGTACATTGTACAATTACAATATTTATTCTTCTTCAACTTCCTCGTCGAACTCGCCCTCGTCATCGGCTGTTACATCTTGGTACTATATACTTAATACTGTATATTTTCAAGGATTTCAGGAGTACTCTGTGAGATGTGTCATAATTTATAGAATGTCGAGTTTAGTGTTGTATTTGTCGACCGGTCGTCCAAGTTTAACTTCTTAGTCGGACAACCTGTTCTGGATAAACATATTCTTCAATGATTTCCATCGTAGTGTCGGGTTTAATCATCATCATTATTATCATCATTGCAGTATATATTATAGCTTCCTCATACGGCCAACAGTGAGAGTCCACATTTCATCATCATTGATCATAGCGTTTTCAATATGGGTAGAATAGGTGACATAGACGTAACACACGAATTTATTTTTTCGATGAACATCTTAAGACTTAACCATTATTTGACATTGACTGACATTAATTCTGCCATAATTAGTATGTCGTCAGTAAATCTGAAGGTTCGTCATTAATAAAATAAATTCGTCATTAAATACATCTTTCAGTGGAGAATACTGGGGGATAGATATGTTTCGTATTCTGGTTCTGTTTTAAATAAGCTTTGCTGCCTTACTGTACAAATTCTTCCAACATTTCGATGTACCAATCAATCTAGCATCACTGAAGAGCCTTTAAAACCACCCAATTTTGGGTTGAATCAAATAGTCCTTGAACGCCAGACGAAGCGCCAGCTTCTTCATTCTTCTGTACAATCTGTCGAAGGGTGTGTATGTGGTCACCATAGTTCTGTTCTACATCTCCTGTGTAATGCAAGCGCAGATTGAAATAAGCGTTAGTGTATTGCTTT